CAGCCAAATTCGAAATGGGAAAGCCTATCGATCTGGAGATAAAAGTATCGCTAGTGAAAGATCTGGGGGAGGAATTGTGAATCGAGTGAATGGAAAATGGAACTGCAACATCTCTGCTTTGATTTTCTGGAGGAATCGAGACTGGTGGAAATTTTTTGGCGGAATTATTCGCTTCGGGCGACGGACGCTTCTAAAATAGGTTTCCGGCCTTGTCTTTCTTTTAGCAGTTGAACACCAACATAGCGCTAACTCGCCGAAAACGCTTCAAAATGGCCTGAGACGTTCGGAATCAACAAAGAAAACAACAAGGCAATAAAGTGAGCCCATTATATTTCAAAACAAGACATTTTTTTCTCTCTTTTAAGGCAAACCGATAACATCCCATACAAACCTTTATAAATATAAAACGTTACGCAACACGGTAAGAGTCACGTCCGCTTTTCTCGTAGTGAGCTTGGGCTGCCTGTGTACAAGCAAACCTACATGTGTTGGTTGTAGCTGAGGATTGAGTTCTGTGATGACTTCTGTGATGTTTAGCAGGGACACTTGTTTGGGCCGACTACCGGCCGAATGAACGAACTGCGAACTGGTATCGATTAGGTCACGTGGCTCAGTAGCACATGGTTGTGATTTAAGTGTAGATTCGTGTCGAGGACCGTAAATGCTTTGCTTGTTGCAGTTTTGTTTTATTCCCTACCGTTGATTGCACAGAAAATGTAAGTACCAGGTTTATCATTTCCTTCTACCCCGATCAGTTGTTAATTCAAGTTTTCTTTCGTTCAGTTTTTACCGTAGGCGTAGATAATTCAAGACCACACAAAATGTCACTTGGACATGGAGGTTGCACTACGAGTTGCAGTTCTCCCGCCTACTTTAAGGGAATATTGTCAGAACCTAGCCCTGTTTTCACAGGTGTTCCCCAAGGAAGTATTCTTGGGCCGTTATTGTTTTTAATTAATTTTAATGATGTCCACAAGCCGCTCCGTTATTCTAAGATTATCACCTACGCAGCCTACTCAGTAACTTTCACATCCTCGAAAGACTTGGATATTATCCAACACAATCTCAGCGAAGACATCAATAGCCTCGCCTCCTGGTTTCGAGATAATGAACTTATCATTAATCTCAAAAAATGAAAAACTGAAGTAATGCTATTCCAAACAGCAAAAAGATTAAGTGGTTTCGATGGCAAAGAACTAAACCTCTCAGTAAATGGATCTTGCATCGACACGACTACAAATTAAAAGTACCTAGGTGTCTATCTGGACCCTACATTGAATCTTGATATGCACTTCTACAAAACATACAAGAAAACTGCAGGAAGAGTGAATTTGTTACGACGAATCCATTCTAACACTGACTCCTTAAGCGCTGAACGAATCTACAGAGCAATGATAATGCCCATATTCACTTATTGCGGTCAAATTACGCTTGGTTGGTCAGAGACACGAAGGTGCCAAATAAGAAACCTGGAACAACGTAGTCACAGGATTATTCTGCAAAACTCAAAATGTCTAAACTGTGAACTCCGTCTACCCACAATTGAAAATTTTTTAAAGAAAAAGGCTTGTTTCTTTGTTTTTGATTGCCTAAACGGCAATGTTTGTAGTCCTTTCAAAGAATATTTTTAATTGTTAACCCACTATTTTAATACCAGGAACGGAGGGACCACCGTTGCTCTGCCGAAAGTTAGACTTGACTTTGCTCGGAAAATTTTTTATTTTTTAGGAGCTTCAGTTTTTAATTTTTTACCTTTAAAAATTAAGCAAATTAGCAGTAGGGTACCATTTAGGGAGTCTTTAGATCAATTTTTTGCATAGGGCATTTAATTAGGTGCGTAGTCATCCTTATCTTACTCTAGTTTTTATCCTTATATTATGTCATTTAGACAGGACCCCATTGATAACAGTGCTCCTGCACTGAAGGGCTATCCTGTATAAATATTCATTATTATTATTGTTATTATTATTAGAGCTGTGGGAATTCTTGCAAGACCTAGACATACTACTCCATTACGTCCCCTTTTAAATATCTATCAAGCCTTTATTAGTACCTATCTTTATCATAGCATCTGTGCTTAAGGCTCTGCACCCAAATCTTATTTAAATAAGTTATTTCTAATTCAAAAACGACCTCTACGCCTGATTTACTTCAAGGAATATAAGCAACATGCTGTTACACTTTTCTCAAAATCGAATGTCTCTCCCCTTTCCTTTATTTACTTTGATCGTCTTTGTAATATCATGTGGGACATTGTTAAAAATCATGCTCCTGAAAATTTTAAGTGAGCATTTACTAGGATTTCTGAGGTGCACTCATAAAATTATTCTAGCCGATCTTCTGTCAATGATATTTTTTATACAGAACACTCAAGGCTTGAAAAAATGCGTAGCTCTTTCCTAAGAATTGGTCCAAAAATTTGGAATTCTCAACCCTCAGATATGAGAAAATTGCCAAAATCTACCTACCGGAAAAAGTCAAGGAATAAACTCTCTGAAGTTTTATTGAAATCTAAGGACTACCTTGATATCGCCGAAATTATGCACCAGTTCACTCAAATTTAGATAGCTCTAAAACATGACTTGACTTTTACTTTCTGTGTAGTTCACGTTGCCATTTCTGTATCTTAATAATATTTTTAACTGATACCATAATTTCATTTTGCGACAGCTGGTACTGTTTGCAAAATATTTTTCGCCTTTTCCTCTCTATAAACCTGTTAGTCTCTTCCCCTGCCTCGATTAGTCTCTTCATATGCGGATGGAAGCTAACATAAAGTTACAATTTGTGAATCAATGAATAAAGTTTGTTTTTTTGTTGTTGGTATGGCATTCCTAAGACTCTCAAAGCCACACTGCGCATGAAGGCCCATCCTAGTTGCTTCCGGAACTTACACTTACAATCTTGCCAAGTGGCTTGTGGAAAAGCTGATATGACTCTCCTTAAATAAGTATACCATTAATAATGCCTTTGACCTCGCCACTGAGCTTCGCAATCTGTCTATCAACGACGATGACATTCTAGTCTCTTATGTCGGGAGTTGCTTCTCTCGCCACCAGTGTGCCGTTTTAGGAAACCATGAACACCCTAGCCAACAAAGCCCTCACAGACGATCGGCTCAACAGAAGCTTCTACCTAAACCTTCGAAAGAGTCAATTCATCAGACTGTTTGAGTTGGCCACACACACACGAAAAAGACAGTTTTCCAATTCAATGGTCAGTTATTCGAACTAAATGAGGGAGTTTCATGTATACCCCACGTGACATGAAGGGCTATTGGCGCGCGACGGCTAATGCCTCAATTGTACAGAAGATATATGGATGACACCCTCGCAATAATGCCGAACACTGACACGGCTGGCGAGTTTCTCGTTACGTTGATTGCCATGCATCCCAGTCTAACATTTACTATCATAATGTAACTTACTGGAAATCTTTTCTTTTTGGTTTTTAATTTTCGAAGAATGGGACTAATCTGGAAACCAAAGTTTTAGAAAAGCAACGATTACTGGATTGTTGTTATACTTTCACTGTCATGTCGATAAACGGTACAAAGACTATCTTCTAAAGACAATGCTTCTAATGAAGAATATGACGCAGTCAGATCTATTTTTATACGTCTTCATTACCCAGTCAGTCTTACAGACTCGACTATTGCAACTCTTACGCATGTAATTCTTCAACGAGCCTGACGGAAAGTAATTCTGATGCGGGCAACTTAGTCAGGGTTAGTCTTCCTTTCAAAAATCAGATCTCTGCCAATGCTATCAGTAGGCATTACGTCATCTCAGCCATAGGATTAACCCTAATTTTTTTCAGTAGAAAATTAGAACAAGACTTTAGGCCTATGGAGGCCAAGCTATCTATTTTAAATCAGCAATGTGTTGTTTATCATTTTTCATGTGATCTGTGCGATGCAGATTATGTCGGTTACACGGCCAAAGCCCTTTTTTTAACGTGTTTCGGAACACAAGAATCCGGCAATTGGAAAACATATTACTGCTGCGCACGGTAGAAGCAATCTTAAAAAATACCTCTAGGTTTCAATCCTTAATGCTTGAAGTGCTTTTTATCAAGAAACTCAAACCGAAGTTGAACGTACAGGCGGATTCCATACGTGCAGAATTTTTCTTTAGTCTTTCTTCGTTATTTATTTTTTATAAGGTTTGAATTAGTCCCTTTTTTTTTTTAGTATTTAGGCCTCCAAAACTTATCATTCTTTTTCACTTGAAAATGGCGTTATGTTAAGGTCGAAACGCTGGTCGTCGACAAGCTTTTCCTAGCCTCAAAAAATGTATCGTAATTGTTTTATAAATACGTGTTATCGCAATCACTTTTTATCGCCAAATGACTTTCAAAATCTTTTCTTCTTCGACGTTAAAGAAATAGCGTTAAAAAACAGTCGTCTTCCGCGTAGGCGGGCTAATGAGATAAGCAATATTTGTCTTCCTCAAACAGTAGCACATCTCCATATGTAAGAAATAAAATACAAATTGTTTGAAGAAAAAAGACCTATGTGCAAAATTTCCTGTCCGAGCACATGGCAAAGATCACCCAGAGCAAATGATGGGTAAATAAACCTACGCAGGCCTGCAATGCCGCAAACTAGATCCTACACGTAACGTTAAAATAAGCTTTTCAGAACCAAGAACCGTCTTGCGAATAAACTTATACTGGAAAATACCAATTCAAAAAAATTGACGCGCATAGAAGGTTTCTTTTCTCTTCGAATTCCTATTTTCTCTGAGTATCTCTGATTTATGTCTGTTTACCTGTATTCAATTGTATTTTGGACTCAAAAACACTTCAATGTAAGCGTTTTCCTATCTACGAGGAAATAAGAGTGTAATGCAAAGGTTATCGTCGAATTCCCATGCTAAAATTACGTAATACTTACCAGGCGCAGACTCAGATATATGGAAAGCTAAAATGTCGTTTTACAAGGGATTTTATAAATATGCCAACATATCGCATGTACTTAATGAAAGACTTTCCACAAATGCTCATCGACTGCTTGGAGAGAGCGCGGGCCTGAACTGGTAACATTTCCAACAAAAAATTGAGCTCCCGATTCAAGATTACTGGGATTCTTTCACCAAGAAAGAATATATTCGGAGTAGGAAGTCAGATGATAGTCTTCTCTTTGTGACTTTTTGCTAATCAGATTCTTGTGTAAAGCAGATACGCCATCACTTTTCTTTTGACATTAAAATAACGAGGCGATTCATTAAGCTCTAAGCAGAGACATCTAAGTGCTTTTCTTTTGGACCACACATAAACTGAGCCATAGAGGTCAGATGATAAATTATGTAAGATATGGCTTTTTGTTTTAATGATTGTTCTGCAAACAGAAGTAGATGTCAAGTTTACAATATGGCCTTCTAATCCAACCTAAGTTAACCATGAGAGCACTGCCAAACTTGTGCGGGGCTGCAGTGACTCCACTTAAACAGTAATCTCAGAGCCATAAGGTTTTCGAATGTTTTTACTCATCTGAAGGGGCATAACTAGTTATCTTTATGAGGACAATAAACGAAACAAAGCACATGATCTCCATCTTCTTGTGGTGCTTGACTTTTAATTTTAAAAGTAATATTTTTGCGTCACCGTCCTTAAAATGAGATCTCTCTACTTTGAAAAATTAATTCAATTTTTTTACCTTTTCTTTCTCAACGCATTAAAAACAAAACTTTAGGATATAGGGGATTTAAACCATACAAAATGGATCAAATCATGCTGATGTACAATGTACAGAATATTGGGTGGCCAGATACATGATAGATGGTCAGGTTACTATTTATTCCCAATGCCATTAGTGTTTTCAGGCTCTCTTGTCTTTGTTGTGTTTTTTTTATTTGACATGCTAAGAGTGCAGAAATAAATCATTTCTTTATAGCTACTTTAAACTTCATCTCCCCATATACTGGAAGGGGTATAACTACAAGAGTTGGTTCGTCCCTCAACTTTTCATGGATCTTCAAAGCTGTAAACGGCTTTAGTTACATTCGTTTTGGCATCTTGACTTCCCTTAGTCAAAGAGATATTGACAGTAATAACGTACTAGTATGGATAGAAAATGATGGTACCGTCTTCATAAAGGCCAGACATGTTGCTGGCTGTTGGAATAACAAGACAGATCCTGGTCAGGTGACATTTACCATGAGTTCAATTCAAGCACAAAATGGCGGACCGTTTGGTTGTCAAATTATGCCTAGATTCCTCCATTTGAGGTCGATCTTAGACCCGGTAAACTTGGTTGTCATTGGTAAGTACCGTTACTATCCTCTGTTATTGTATTCATAACAATCTGGTCTAATTAACGCCGATAATTATTGTCTAATGTATTTTATTAGATAAGTGGTATGTAATTTCACGGAAAGAAAAAATCGTTTTACTAGGAAGGGTTTGTCGAGGTGTGCAAACGTGGTGAAAATTTGGGGCACTAAATTTGAGCGAGATTCGTACTAGCCGTAAAATGAAGGTAAACTTAGGCACTTGTTCCTGACATATTGTGTACAAATCTAACGTAAACAGGACATTTGCTAAACTTTACCTTGCATTTGATTCCAAGGAAATCGCTGAACTTTGCACATTTTTCAAGCATTCGCTTTCTGTGCAAAAGTGACATACTTGTTATAGATGCAAATACAAGTAAACATGGCACGAAACAATTTGTGCCACATTTTTCTATACAACTTTTAACTTTAATAAACCTAAGTATCTTTGTATTTACTACACTCTCATTATCAATTGAGGGAGTGAACGTCAAACAAAAAATAAAAATAAAAATCTTATTAAGCAGCCAGCCCTAATTCGAACCCACTTGCCGAATGGCATGAAGGTGGCCGCCAAACTGGGTTCAACTGTATTTGGAATGAATTTTGATATTAATGTAATTGGATATAAATGTGCTTGATATATTTGTTTTTCCCGAAAATCTGGGGGAAATAATAATTTAGGCCGTTTTAGGGGTCTTTTTTGTCCTTCCAATAATCCGTTAGGAGCTGATTAAATGAGTCAGACAGGCCTGCTCCGTATAATGCCAGCTTAGCAAACAGTCAACCTAGCTCATGTAATCCACCCTTTATTAAATTAACAATTGATTAAACAAACAATAGTGACAGGCCTCTGCCTACCACAGATATAGCATTTCATGTTTTAATGAACACTGCAAACATATCTTGCACATGGAGATGATTATTACTTAAACTGTTACAACATGCAAAAAACAGACAAACTGTTTTTATCAGGGTTAAAAACAATTTCTACAAATGTGTTATAAATCATGTCTCTGATAATCAAGTTAGAATAACTCCTGTAAAATTGTCCTTTACAATTAAACATGTATATAGCTTTATAAATCAAAATATTTTGTATACAATGAATGAAAGACTTTTGTCACTCAGAAGCCCTCACTTACAAGAGGTGCCACCCAAAGGCTGAACAAAACAAAATAACTGTCTGCATCAAGCATTACCCACACACACACACACACACACACACACACACACACACACACACACACACACCTCCTCTCCTCTATTAAGTCCACTATTTTTGTGGAGATTTGGGAACACTTTCATCAGTGACTCCATACTTTAACACCCGTAACACCACAAAGCATTCGATCCCAGAATTTTCTGCATGAGCCAGTCAAAGCTTGACAAAGCTTAAAATCCTTTCCTTTACAGCTTAAAATAGTTTTTTAGATAAGTTTGCAGAAATTATTCCACGAGTAAACCATTTTTCCCTGGAAAACACTGCAAGTAGCNCAGGACTCTAGAAATACCGAAATCACAACGGTTACGTTGACGTGTTGGCTTCTGTAAACGCGTTGTTAGCCGATAGCGTACCTATCTTAGACGAGTCGTTTCGTGGATGAGTCACTCAAAAAGCTCGATTTTTCTTTCTTCTAACATAAGTGAAAGGCCATAGCTATTCAATATGAAAAAAAAAAAAAGAAGGTTGGGAAGCTTTATCCAATGTGAAATAAAGACTAAAACAAGCCCTTTCGCTTAACGCTTACATTTGTTAAAGCCGTGAAAGCGTCGTCACGTGACCTCTAAGATAGCAACGAGAGGAATTTACATAGCAACCAGCCATCGTGTAATGTTTTAAATTTTCTCTTTCTGGTCCTGAAAACGGTTGCTTCTAACACATCATTCTACGAGTGCTTACTACAACAAATTGGGATATATCTGTACAAAGACGTCAATCAACAGATATGTCGCCCCATCACGCGTTTCTATGAAAACTCGTCAGTATAAAAAGGAAAAACAAAAAACCCACCAGAAAATTGCAAACAAGTGAGTGCGCTATTCTTTGATCATGTTTGCATCATAGTTTCACTCAATGACAACACAAAGTACAATTATTTTGAATTGTTCTTAGACTGGTGTGATTTGATGAAGGGGAGTATCAAGTTGCGCTGTTAGCAGGTAAGTAGAATTCGAAAAGGCTAGTTCTAAAAGAACCTTGTATATCCAAAGTTATCTCATACATCATCACTTTGTGTTCGGTATTAATAAGGTCTGACAGCTACTTCTCACAGCAGTCCTAACAATAGCAGCGAATTTGTAATTGAATTTGAGATTTGTGACCTTTTCTGATCTTTAGTTTCAAAGTCTGAGCTCCGTGATGTACATTATTTTTGTCGTCGCAGAGATTCTTCACATCCGATGAGATGTGGAGATTTCAGTTTAATATCCTTTTTTTTAACCGAGTGGAAGGAAATTATTTGAATTTTCTAAGCACCTCGTAAACAAGCGTGACCGCTAAAAATTGAGCGTGCGACCCTGTGAGAGGGGGTCACATCATGCAATATACATAGAATTGTGAAACACAACTCCGTCTCCTAATCCAAGCCATACATTTGATATTGAGGTCGTCGGAAATGATAGAAACCTTAGAGATGTGCAACGTCCTGGCAATCTCTAATTACTTCGTGGCTTCTGTTGTACTTATTCCTTTGGCAGGTAAGTGACACTCGCTTTTTCGAGTAAAGAGATGCGAGACTGAACCTGATCTCTTCAACCCGACATATTACAAAGGCGGAGACTACTACTCGCAATGTGCATTTCATGCTCGCACGAATTTCATATTCAGTCTGAAAGCCGGCATAACGTACGAACGGCACTTATCAGTTCACAAATACCTTCTTATCTCACCATACTTCTACACCCAGCAGATTTTATTTCCATTGCAATTTTCGAAGTGGCAGTGTGAAAAAATAACTTCAGTCGATTGGATCACTGAAAATTCAAACAAAGGGAAAGCGAAAATTTTTTTCTTCAGTTGTTTGTGTTCCTTTTCACCCTGGCTGCCATGTTCAAGTCTTTTTTTACCAACCAACGTTGGTGCACTGTAAACTTTCTTCATCCTGAGTTTTTTCCGTGACAAACCCGCAGGCAAAATGGTAACAGCTTGGAAGTTGAGCTCCAGATCTTTTAATAGGGAGCACTTAGTTATTCATAGAGTTTCACAACATAGCTGACGTTTTTGTTTCTTTATCAAAGCTATACATTGAATTATATGGTCGTAAGGAGAAAAAAAAAAAACCATTAGTGATGCATAACATCTCGGTAATCTTTCGCTACATTATGACTGCTGCCCTAAGACTTGGCTTGTTTCCAGTAATTTCCCAGCTTTTGTTGTTTTTAATTTCCCAAGAATGTTGTTTTGTCCGCTTTAATTCAGTGGGGATCTGACATAATCCACTAGTCACACAATGACGTATATTCAGTCGCTATCCGTATATTGCAGGTTCTCGTCGTTGTTGAGTATCACCATTATTAGAATATTCAAAGCGTTTTAACGACCAGAGTCTGTCGAAGCGTTATTTCGTGCCGAAGTACATGAATAGTTCTTGGAACATTTATAGTTTAAAGTCGGCTAAATGGCTTCATTCAAGTTGTCATTTCCGTCATACAGTCTGCCGTGAGACATGTCCAGAGTGACTGTCTTCTCCGCTTATTTTGCTCTGGGTAACGCCAGCACCAGACCTTTTGGTTTAAAAAAAAAAAAAAAAAAAAAAA